AAACTCAGCCTGCGCGGCGTTAAATCATGTGTTGAGGCGGCTGCTTCACTTCATTTTAAAGCTTATTTTCTAGATTCTAAAGCGCTTTGAGCTCTGCGCTGCATGAATCCTAAATTTATAATAAAATCAAAAATCTGCGGAATAAAATTAAATAGAGCTAAACAAAAAAAAAAAAAAATTCAGCTTGCGCGGCGTTAAATCATGTGTTGAGGCGGCTGCTTCACTTCATTTTAAAGCTTATTTTCTAGATTCTATAGCGCTTTGAGCTTTGCGCTGCATGAATCCTAAATTTATAATAAAATCAAAAATCTGCGGAATAAAATTAAAAAGAGCTAAACAAAAAAAAAACTCAGCTTGCGCGGCGTTAAATCATGTGTTGAGGCGGCTGCTTCACTTCATTTTAAAGCTTATTTTCTAGATTCTAAAGCGCTTTGAGCTCTGCGCTGCATGAATCCTAAATTTATAATAAAATCAAAAATCTGCGGAATAAAATTAAATAGAGCTAAACAAAAAAAAACAAAAAAATTCAGCTTGCGCGGCGTTAAATCATGTGTTGAGGCGGCTGCTTCACTTCATTTTAAAGCTTATTTTCTAGATTCTAAAGCGCTTTGAGCTTTGCTCTGCATGAATCCTAAATTTATAATAAAATCAAAAATCTGCGGAATAAAATTAAAAAGAGCTAAACAAAAAAAAAAACTCAGCTTGCGCGGCGTTAAATCATGTGTTGAGGCGGCTGCTTCACTTCATTTTAAAGCTTATTTTCTAGATTCTAAAGCGCTTCGAGCTTTGCTCTGCATGAATCCTAAATTTATAATAAAATCAAAAATCTGCGGAATAAAATTAAAAAGAGCTAAACAAAAAAAAAACTCAGCTTGCGCGGCGTTTAATCATGTGTTGAGGCGGCTGCTTCACTTCATTTTAAAGCTTATTTTCTAGATTCTAAAGCGCTTCGAGCTTTGCTCTGCATGAATCCTAAATTTATAATAAAATCAAAAATCTGCGGAATAAAATTAAAAAGAGCTAAACAAAAAAAAAAACTCAGCTTGCGCGGCGTTTAATCATGTGTTGAGGCGGCTGCTTCACTTCATTTTAAAGCTTATTTTCTAGATTCTAAAGCGCTTCGAGCTTTGCTCTGCATGAATCCTAAATTTATAATAAAATCAAAAATCTGCGGAATAAAATTAAAAAGAGCTAAACAAAAAAAAAACTCAGCTTGCGCGGCGTTAAATCATGTGTTGAGGCGGCTGCTTCACTTCATTTTAAAGCTTATTTTCTAGATTCTAAAGCGCTTTGAGCTTTGCGCTGCATGAATCCTAAATTTATAATAAAATCAAAAATCTGCGGAAAAAAGAGAAAAAGAGCTAAACAAAAAAAAAACTCAGCTTGCGCGGCGTTAAATCATGTGTTGAGGCGGCTGCTTCACTTCATTTTAAAGATTATTTTCTAGATTCTAAAGCGCTTCGAGCTTTGCTCTGCATGAATCCTAAATTTATATTAAAATCAAAAATCTGCGGAATAAAATTAAAAAGAGCTAAACAAAAAAAAAACTCAGCTTGCGCGGCGTTAAATCATGTGTTGAGGCGGCTGCTTCACTTCATTTTAAAGCTTATTTTCTAGATTCTAAAGCGCTTCGAGCTTTGCTCTGCATGAATCCTAAATTTATAATAAAATCAAAAATCTGCGGAAAAAAGAGAAAAAGAGCTAAACAAAAAAAAAACTCAGCTTGCGCGGCGTTAAATCATGTGTTGAGGCGGCTGCTTCACTTCATTTTAAAGCTTATTTTCTAGATTCTAAAGCGCTTCGAGCTTTGCTCTGCATGAATCCTAAATTTATAATAAAATCAAAAATCTGCGGAAAAAAGAGAAAAAGAGCTAAACAAAAAAAAAACTCAGCTTGCGCGGCGTTAAATCATGTGTTGAGGCGGCTGCTTCACTTCATTTTAAAGCTTATTTTCTAGATTCTAAAGCGCTTCGAGCTTTGCTCTGCATGAATCCTAAATTTATAATAAAATCAAAAATCTGCGGAAAAAAGAGAAAAAGAGCTAAACAAAAAAAAAAACTCAGCTTGCGCGGCGTTAAATCATGTGTTGAGGCGGCTGCTTCACTTCATTTTAAAGCTTATTTTCTAGATTCTAAAGCGCTTCGAGCTTTGCTCTGCATGAATCCTAAATTTATAATAAAATCAAAAATCTGCGGAAAAAAGAGAAAAAGAGCTAAACAAAAAAAAAAAACTCAGCTTGCGCGGCGTTAAATCATGTGTTGAGGCGGCTGCTTCACTTCATTTTAAAGCTTATTTTCTAGATTCTTAAGCGCTTTGAGCTTTGCGCTGCATGAATCCTAAATTTATAATAAAATCAAAAATCTGCGGAATAAAATTAAAAAGAGCTAAACAAATAAAAAAACTCAGCTTGCGCGGCGTTAAATCATGTGTTGAGGCGGCTGCTTCACTTCATTTTAAAGCTTATTTTCTAGATTCTAAAGCGCTTTGAGCTTTGCTCTGCATGAATCCTAAATTTATAATAAAATCAAAAATCTGCGGAAAAAAGAGAAAAAGAGCTAAACAAAAAAAAAACAGCTTGCGCGGCGTTAAATCATGTGTTGAGGCGGCTGCTTCACTTCATTTTAAAGCTTATTTTCTAGATTCTAAAGCGCTTTGAGCTTTGCTCTGCATGAATCCTAAATTTATAATGAAATCAAAAATCTGCGGAATAAAATTAAAAAGAGCTAAACAAAAAAAAAAAAACTCAGCTTGCGCGGCGTTAAATCATGTGTTGAGGTGGCTGCTTCACTTCATTTTAAAGCTTATTTTCTAGATTCTAAAGCGCTTTGAGCTTTGCTCTGCATGAATCCTAAATTTATAATAAAATCAAAAATCTGCGGAAAAAAGAGAAAAAGAGCTAAACAAAAAAAAAAACTCAGCTTGCGCGGCGTTAAATCATGTGTTGAGGCGGCTGCTTCACTTCATTTTAAAGCTTATTTTCTAGATTCTAAAGCGCTTTGAGCTTTGCGCTGCATGAATCCTAAATTTATAATAAAATCAAAAATCTGCGGAATAAAATTAAAAAGAGCTAAACAAAAAAAAAACTCAGCTTGCGCGGCGTTAAATCATGTGTTGAGGCGGCTGCTTCACTTCATTTTAAAGCTTATTTTCTAGATTCTAAAGCGCTTCGAGCTTTGCTCTGCATGAATCCTAAATTTATAATAAAATCAAAAATCTGCGGAAAAAAGAGAAAAAGAGCTAAACAAAAAAAAAAAGCTTGCGCGGCGTTAAATCATGTGTTGAGGCGGCTGCTTCACTTCATTTTAAAGCTTATTTTCTAGATTCTAAAGCGCTTTGAGCTCTGCGCTGCATGAATCCTAAATTTATAATAAAATCAAAAATCTGCGGAAAAAAATTAAAAAGAGCTAAAAAAAAAAAAAAAAAACTCGGCTTGCTTGGCGTTAAATCATGTGTTGAGGCGGCTGCTTCACTTCATTTTAAAGCTTATTTTCTAGATTCTAAAGCGCTTTGAGCTTTGCGCTGCATGAATCCTAAATTTATAATAAAATCAAAAATCTGCGGAATAAAATTAAAAAGAGCTAAACAAAAAAAAAACAGCTTGCGCGGCGTTAAATCATGTGTTGAGGCGGCTGCTTCACTTCATTTTAAAGCTTATTTTCTAGATTCTAAAGCGCTTTGAGCTTTGCGCTGCATGAATCCTAAATTTATAATAAAATCAAAAATCTGCGGAAAAAAATTAAAAAGAGCTAAAAAAAAAAAAAAAAAACTCGGCTTGCTTGGCGTTAAATCATGTGTTGAGGCGGCTGCTTCACTTCATTTTAAAGCTTATTTTCTAGATTCTAAAGCGCTTTGAGCTTTGCGCTGCATGAATCCTAAATTTATAATAAAATCAAAAATCTGCGGAATAAAATTAAAAAGAGCTAAACAAAAAAAAAAACTCAGCTTGCGCGGCGTTAAATCATGTGTTGAGGCGGCTGCTTCACTTCATTTTAAAGCTTATTTTCTAGATTTTAAAGTACTTCGAGCTTTGCTCTGCATGAATCCTCAATTTTTAATAAAATGAAAGATCTGCGGTTTTTTTGTGTGCAAATTTCAAAGCCCTTATTATTACAATTTCCAGTTTTCTCAACTGATTGAATGAAAATGTGTTTTCGCATCTTAAAGTGTAAAACGTAAGTAAAACGTTTCCTTGTTCCGCTGTGAAGTTCTAAAAATTCTTTGTGGTAGCAATTTAATTATAATTTAAGCTTTCACACCATCAACTGTTATAATATATAGTCTTTCTTTTTCATTATATTTGTCATATTTTCACTTCTCCAAAGTGGAGCATGTTTATGTCAACTTGAAGTAGGAAAATATCTTGATATCTATAAAAGAAATTTTTTATATATAATTCCAGCCAGCATTATATGAGAACTGAGTAAAGGAAAAAATGGTCTAATTACAAAGAAGAACTTAAAAAGCTCTTGTAAATTAAAATTCAGAGAATTTTATTTTTGCCTCAATCTAATTATGTATAAGGAGACTCAGTCAGATTCCTTTTTCTTGCTCCTTAGAAAAGCCTTTGCTAAAAAAAAAAAACGCCCACTCGCGAATATATATCGAGAAACAACGCGACCTTCCTCCTATTTCGCTGTCCCTGCGTGTAGGCAATAAATCGGCGGCGGCACGTCGAAGGAGCAAAGCAGCGCCGCGATTTATGTCGTTTGCGATTGCGAAAGAGGATACGGAATGAGACGGCGACGCTTCTTGAAGATTAATTTAAAGCGAGGCACTAGTTATTTTATCAAAACGTTGCGTATGCGTTGCCTACGTGTATGATGATTCCATAATATACAAAACGACGCTAGAGCAGGATTAAGTTACAACAAATGGCCGCGCTTTTTTTCCGCTTTTATCGCACGCCTCAATTTATAACCCGCACCTCAGCCTGGCCATAACAAATTACTCGCTGGGATTTTTGTACACACGGATGACACTTTTCTTCCTTCTTTTTCCAGCTCACAAAAAGATGCAACAAGCTGATTGTCGGCCGAAATGAATTGAGGTGCGTCAGCTGCGCCGGCCTCACGTTTTCATAATACATGACGCCGTACCACACACATAGCCGAAAAGTGAGTACAAATATATATTATATAAAGCTGACCAAAAGAGACCTTTCTGTCGCACAAAGGCAATGTCCATTAATTACCGCCCGGCTTGACACTTTCGGGAAATTTATTTTGCCGATAACACAGACGAATCCGGACAAGTCTTTAATAATATGGCTTTTCAACTTCGCGCCGTTAGAAATGCGTTTAATTTGCAAAAAAAAAAAAAAAAAATGGACTCATTTCAAATTTTATTTAATGTTTATGCCTTTGAAAATTCTCTAGCATGTAATATTTTCAGATATTTGCCAATGAATATTAAATAAATATTATAGAAATTTTTATTAGAAGAGTAAAATTTCAACGTATTTTTATTCAAAATTAATTGAAATACAATCAAAGTTGCACAATTTTTCCCATAATTTTTTTATAATTCGGCAAAATATTCAGTAAAATTGTTTAAAATCAATTAATTTCTTTATTCAATGACGCAGATGCAATGGAAGTTTAAAAAATGCATTAAAACAAAACAAAAGTGTGTGCTTCAAATAACGAGATTTAAGAATCAAATCCCTCAAAAATTCAACTATCTGTTAAATCATTAAAACAATTGAAGTCATTTTTGCCATATTATATTGTTGATTAACAATATGTGTATTGAAAATTTCAACCACCATTGTTGTAAAACTTACTTTCAGCAGGCTGTTGTCCTTTTTTATTTATTTACTCTCAAGTCAAATCAAACACGGGTTGAAATACTGAAAAAAAAAAGCATAAATTGTATTATACTGGAAAGCTGGAAACAACATCGGATTTTATTCTTTCAATCGTGGTAAATTAATTTAAAAAAAAAAGTAATTAAATTTTAGGAAGAAACTTTTAATTGTTTGATTAATTTTAAAATATTTTATTAAGCATTTAAAAACATCTAATTCCAGCTTTCATTTTAGAGTTTGAATTTTGTATTTCAAAGCAGGCTATTGATTTATTCTCCATTCAATACATTAAGTAATGAATACACAGCAAAATAAATACACATTAAAAGTACAGAAAAAGCTGAAAATAGAATTTTTAAATAAGGATTGACTGTAATTTGTAAATTTAGTTTCTATAAAATTGAGCATTTGATTTAAAAACAACAAAGACCGTTTGAACCTAAAAAAAAAATGAACATAGAGGCAAACATAATGTTTGGAGGCAGCTTTGGATAATTTATACAAACCGTGCAACATTTTTTTTTTCAACAAGCATCACTATAGAGAGAAAGAACTCGCGACGAGTACTCAACACCCAATGTTGAATGTAGCTCGCCCGCACAGCACATTATCTATGACAGCTGCTCCCAAGTTTGCAACCAAAGGGCAATTTTTCAGCCGGGGCGTCAAAAGCAGCGGAGCAGGCAACAAATTTTCGGCGGCAAGGCGTGGTGCAGCATTAATAAAAATGAAAAACACTGCACGCAACGGGGCCAACGAGTGCCACGGTACGTTCGTCGCGCATAAGCAATTCTGGGCCTTTGAATGGAGGAAAGAAAGAAAGGATTTGGTTGTGTCGCTAGATGGATGGGTCCAGCAGCTGACACCGCATTGTTTCAGACTTTGAAACAAATAAATGGCTCACGCTTTCGGTGCGAAAACAAAGCGCGTGCGAATGTTTATATGAAAGAGTTTGTTTCGGCGCGCGCCGCACCAGCTCCGCAATCCGTTTCGCAAACGTCGCTTCTGTTTGTCGGTGTGACAATAATGAGCGATCGTTCTATTCGACACCTGCCTGACTACCCGCTGGTCTGCACCGATGACCAGCAACAGTTCAAATAAATAAAAAAAGGCACCGACGCCGGCCGCGCACACTCGAAAAGGACAGGCGAAGGAAAAACTGGTCCACTTTCCATTTCCAGTGATCACGAGCTTGGTTCATTTTCTCCTTTAAAAGTAGAGGAGTTTTAAAAGTTACTCAGCTGAAACAATTTTTATATATTAATAATTATTAGTAAAAATATTTTCAAATGTTTTAAATCAATTTAATGGAAGTAATAATTTTTTAATTGGTTTGGAAAAATAATGACCAATTATGTTTGAAATGAAAATTTATTAGAAGGTCTTCAAAAAGAAAGTTAACTTATTTATTAATACGAAATTAAATTTTTTTTATTCTTAGAAATCTGTAATTGATTTTAATTTTCCAATTGTATACCATAGCAAAATCGTGGTCCAAAAGACCTCTTTTGACCCAGCTTAATCCGGACAAATTTTATTAGTTTTTAAAAACGCCAAATATATTTCTTGCTTATAAGTTATTTAGTTCTTAACTCTATTACAATTGATTTTTTTTTATCTTATATTTATAATTTTGTGTAATTTGATCAATAAAATTTTAAGTATTTTTTCCGTTATATTTCCTAATTTTAATTTTTTTTTAAGATTTTGGTTTTAGTCACGAGAATTAAAATATATTGGTCTCATCTGTGTCTACACGTAGATCACATCCTCTGAAAGGACAATAACAATCTCGTATCTTACAATTAGTCTTCCAGCATTTATAATTCTTTTTATTATATTATAAAATTACTGAAACAAAGAAATTATGTTTTAAAATCAATTTAATAATTCATATCTTGAAAATTCATTTATTTATCAGCGATATTTCTGGATTCAGAAAGAGCAATAATGAGATAAGGAACACATACTTTAGGGCGTTTTAAAAAAAAATGAAACCTACAGCGGGGAGACCATAACTTTTCTTTTTGTCCTGTCAAATTGGTCACAGGGTAAATTACCCCAAACACATTTTGTATGTCTCTGAAAGAGGAAAAATAAATAGAGATGCCCGAATATAGCTTATCTATCTAGGTGTTCGGTTTCGTCCTTTTCTTTTTATTACTGCATTTGCCAGCAACGTGAGTCAGTCTCAAAGGGAGAAGTGCATTGGATCAGGTGTGAAAGAAGAAAAGCTGGCGGTGTAATTTATTGCATTCCTCACAATTCCTCCTTTTGTGGTACAACTTTATTATTTCCCAGCATCCTGGACCTTTTCTCGCCCCAGAAGAACTCACACATCGCCGCGGATAAGAACTTTTGACGCCCTCCCCGTCCGCCGGTCAGCTAAATAATTCGAAAAGAAGCAGAAGAAGAAAAGCGTTTATATAAATAAATATTAAATGACGCCGCGCGGCGATTGTGTTGTGAGATATTTTGTTTGTTGGTGCGCGCGTCAGGGACAACATGCACATCTCTTTTAAGGCCGTACGGGTATTGTGTCACCCTTAACAAGCGCCTTGTTTAGAGATGCCTGGCGCGTTTTCCCTCCCGAAGCTAGGGCTCCAGACGAGTGAAACATTTCCTTTATTCTTCTGGTTAACTTTGTACAAAAAGTTATTCGACGCGACAAACGAATTCCTCAAAGAGACGCACAGACATACTCACATGCAAAAGTACATGTGGAAAAAACGTACAACTTCATGTTGGATGTGGAGGACTCTAGGGCTCGATAATGATTACACCATGAACTTGTCCCGAATAACAATTTCAAAATCGAATTTTAAATTATTATCCAGTATTTCAAAACATTTTTTAAGGCAGTATTTTTTTAATTCTTGTTCATAATAATTTCCAAGATTTTATTTTTTAATTGACTGAATTAATTTGGCCTTTATAGATAAATACTTTGTCAAGTTTCAAATAAACAAGAAAAACATTATTTGCTCTTTGTCTTTCCAAAGTAAAAATCAAATTTCAAAATAAAAGCAATATTTCAGAATAATAGCTTTTGTATTTTACATTACTTTGAAATTCTTAAATTTAGTTAAATGTATTATTGAATTGTTTTTTTAATTGGACTTTTGCCAATGCCAACAGTTCAATAACATTTCAAGGAAAGTATGAATAATTGCGCAATGCACAAGCGGATCTCATGGTCCTCTGCAATAAGATTAAAAGCGCGGTCAATGTCAAATTATCATCAGATCAACGAGAGCACTTGGGGCGATCGAAAGCATCATGGGTGCCACGTCCGATCATCATGTTGCCCTGTTTTTCTTCTACACCTTGGCACTTTTGGCCTTTGCAGAGGTAAAGTTACTTTTTTCCAATGCAGATCGGGTTTTTAGAAAAAAATCTATCTACTTTTTACAGGGGACAGAGACAACCTGTAGCTCATGCAAAGGCCAAGACTGTTTGCAGCTGGAAAAAGCCCTGAAGAAGAGCGAATATCTGTAATTAATTTCATTAAAAAAATTTCAATTAAACTTATACAGAACTTTCCGACAGCATTACGGAAATCAAAGATATCATGATAGAGAAGGAGTCGGAAAATAGGCTTGTCAGGAAACAAATTGTCGACTCCAACACCGCCACTGCCAAGGTTTTTCATCCGAAAAGTCTCCTTTAATATTTGCTCAACTACAAAATGGACTTGTGTAATTTTTTCCTCATTTTGAATAATTACTTTTTTAGGCGATAGAAAAACTTACGCAGAGATTGGGACTAGTAGAGGCGAGTTCGAAAACGTTGGCCAATGGTGTCGCTGTAAACGCAACAATCATTATAAGTAACAAATAGAAATTGTTATTTTTGTAGGCACTCAACTCAAGATCTGACGAATTCAGCGAAGAACTTAAAACTGTGACCGAGGTTTTGAACGTATGTTAATTTTGATGCGTGTTAAAATTTATATAATTTGATTTCGACTTTGACTGTCGCAGTCAACGAGTAGCCTAAGATCAGAAAAGGAGGCGCAGGAATGCGATGTGTTGGCAGAAGAACTGGCAAAAGCAAAATCCGACTTTGAATTGCAGCTGAACGAGACAAAACGCCTTCACGTATGAAGTTAAAATTTATGCAATTTTTGTATTCAATCCACATAAAAAATTAGGAAATGGAAACTTTGAAATATAATAAGCTGAAGGCACATATTGGTAAGCAATAATATTTTGTAAATATGAATTCTGCATTTTCTTTAATAATCATATCAATTTGAGTTAAATTTTGTAGAATTCAAAATGTTGAATTAAATTAAGTATATTTTCCATGGCAGGTGCAATAGCTGGCGGCCCAGCAAACATGCTTTTTGCAAATGGAGTTTGGTACCATTTTGAGAATACTTTGGTAAAAAATATTTAAAAAAAATTGCTAACTCTATATAATATGTTAAAATTCACAGTTGACGTGGAGAGAGGCTAAATCGTTTTGCGAAAGCCGCGGCATGATTTTGCCTGACGCGAAAACTGGTCCCGAACTGGCGGCGGTTTGGGCCAAAGCTAAAGACATGAACGGCGGAAGTAAACTAATTTAATCAATCGCAATTATAAGCCTGCAAATGTGGAAAATCTGTCTAGATGGTTGGTGGATCCACGCTACGGACGAAGGTCGGTCCAGGGGAAGTTACCTGTGGAGCGACGGTAGCGCTGTGGATGTGAATCCGAAAAACGGCTTGTGGTATTCTGGGCATCCTTACAATTATGCAGGCTCTCCTGGTGCTCAATGCTTGTGTTTCTTTTACAACACAAAGTATGTTCTACTTTGTTCAGCAAAAAAGCCTTTTATCTGTGCAGTTCCCCTTTAAATAAAAAATATTTTTGTGGCTCCTCTGGATATGCATAACGGCTGCACATTAATTTAATTATTGCAAGCTCACGTGATTTTTAAAATTCTCATTTTGTGAAAAGCTAATAAAATATATAATATATTAGAGCAAGGGAAAATATTTTGTTTCATTTTGTGAGAAAATTTCCTCTTTATCCTTCTTACTATACATTTTTAACTATTTGTGCCTTAAAACAGCATTTATGTTGAGGAGAGACAAATTTTTTTTGAGCTTTTCAAAATATTTAATTAAACTTTTTCAATATTTTGGGCTTTACTATAAAATTCCCTAGACAACTGTGATGTTTTTATATTCTTAGTACGAGAATGAGAATTTTTAAGCTTTTGAATTATTTTTAGATGCATTTTTTGGAAGAAATCTAACGTTTAATTCAGCTATTTGGTCATATAATATAGTTTCATAATTAACTGCTAGCGCTGCCTCTATGGAAAAAAATAAAAGCCATATTAGAAAAAGCTATCTGAGCAAATCGTGTTTTAGTTTTCATAAGTCTTTTATCTTAAAATAGAGGTACATTTTTTCATTCAAAATTCAAAATAGATAAGAGAATTTTTTAATTTTATCGAACTTTTTCATTCACCAATTTCTATATTTTTGAAAACTATCTCTGAATTCAGTGAAAATTTGTGATCCTGAAGACGATGTGAATTACATAATTTATCAATTTCATTCAGATCAATTTTCACAGATTTTCAGAAAAAAACCGCAGTTGTTATTTGCAGCATCCAAAAGTAAAAAATTAAACAATTAAAAAAATTTTCAATGGTTTCTCATTGCCAATTTGATTGGTTTGTAGAAATGTGAGTAAAAATAATTCATTTTATTGTATTTTGATACGATCTTAAATTTTTTCACCTGAACTCGATTAACGTGAAATGAAATTGAAATTTACCAAACTTTACCTTCGCACAAGAGGAGATCAGCGACCTCAGAAGCAGCCACAGACTGGTCCTTTCTCTGTCTCTTATTTGCGATCTTTACAAAGCGGTGAGGAGCTGATATGCAGTTCGAATGCAGAACTTAATTGCCATGGTCTCCGACAAGAAGAGAGACGTTTATTAAAACGGAATGAGGCGAACATAATTTTTGTGATCGCCAATTTGCAGGTTTGCCGGTGCAGAATAATTGAACTGTCACTGTACGTGTGTGTTTCCATTCATGAAATCCCACGCCCGTGACACACTCACACAGCTCGCTCTCAATTATATTAAACACAGACGCAAGTTTATACACAAGAGAGAAAATAATAAAACAAAAAGAGTAAAATGCACTGCACGGATTATTTCACCGGACAAATTTATATACCCGAGGACGGCGTTTTTAACATGGGTGTTCTCGTCTCTCTCTTTCTCTCTGATGCGATAAAATCATACAATCGCATAATATATATTTTATACAGCCGTGAAACTCTATACACCAAGGTGAATTATTCTCTCTGTACGCTTTATATATATACGCGAAACTATTTTTTTTTTTTTAATTCTAGATTGTGTTTACTCTCGACTTGAATTGTGTCACTTCTCTTCTTCGCTTGTTATTATTATATCGGCGGACCCGCTCTCCAAATCGAGGCCCATCCTTTCATTATTCTCGCGCGCACACGTTTACTTTTTGAATTGAATTATTCGCACCAGCGGAACAATGACTCGTTCTTTTGTTTGCGCGTCCGAGATTAATGATACGACGTGATCTCTTGGCACTTTCAGTTGACTTAGAATACAAAGAAGAAATTACCGACGGTGGTTTTTCACGATTGTACTTGATGTGGAGAAGTTTGTTAGAGAATTTGTTATAAAATCAATTTTTTTTTAAACAAAATTTTGATAATCCAAGTTTGAACGTTAAAGTAAATGTTTTATTTCAATACATCAAATTGAAATATAATTTAATTAAATTTAATTGGGAATATTCACATGATTACTTATTGTTAGCATTCCAATATCTTATAATATCATTTTATTATTGCTGAAGTCTAAAGTTAATATTGAAATTTTTATATAACTGCATAAACTATGACAAATTATTTGTAGAAAATCAAACAATTAAAAATTATGGATCAAAATTATTTTTTTACCCATGCATATTTTACTTTAAAATCTATAAGAGAGAAATAGATTTCGCAAGCGTTGTGAACTCTGTAAATTTGTTCTTTATTTTCAAATTTACTGCTTTTTTATATGACATTCGAATTATAATTTTAAAACTGGTTTTTTAATTGCCTCTTTTGCTGGTGAAAATTCTAGCAAATTCATTTTATAAACCAGCTCTCTCTGCAGCGCAAAAGGCACTAATGAAACTAAACCTGCAAAATAACACTGAAGAGGGTTTAGTGCTGGAATTTCAGCGACAAACGTGTTTTACATTCACGGACAAAGAATGATCGCTGCGACAATATTGCCGGCGCGCGTTAAATGGCTGTAATTGAATTACCTTTGTGCTGAAACGCTGCAAGCAGGTCTTTGTTGTGTCGTTTTAAAAGCAGGTGCTGCGTACACAGAATATGCAAATTCGAAACTTAACAACAATAATAGTCCTTTAATGGTCGTCGATGGAATAAATTAATGAATTAAATTGATTAAATGAAATGCTACAGGAACGGAGAAAAATAAATTCACAAATTGATTGATTCGTTGATGTTTAAATTGAAATTTGGTTTTAATGAATAGTTTATTTTGACAATTCTATTGTTTCATTGAAAAAAAAATTCATCTGTAATTTATCAGCTACGAATTAATTTTACGAAAAAAAAATAAAATTGAATTAAAAACTAATTTATTTTTCAGATTACAATAAACTGACAAGGATTTTTAAGTTTTAGATATGATAAATTATTAATAAACAAGCCAAAAACGTGCTTATTCTATGAAAATAAATAGCGAAAACAAATTTGTAAGCATAAAACGCTAGAGTTGGAAATTTTCTGTTGCGTTTCATGGGAAAAATTGATCCTATCTTTTCGGCCTACGGGAGCATTCATCATCGGCGTGACAATGGAAAGTGCAAGTGTTTTGATTATTCCATCAGCATCAATACTCGAAATTCCCAAAGTCACTCAGCACAAAGGGGCCCTTGTGAGGATTGGAGCGGCCTCTGTGTAGAAAGTCAAAACATTTTCCTCCGCATTCCTCGAGCGCCATTGTCACACCTGAATAAGCTGAAATACAGCAGAAATTACCAACAATGATCATATAAACGAAGAAAGGAATAGAGAATTCCGAGATGAAAATGTTTTCCAAACTAAAATATATATAAATCTTGCGCTGAATGAAATTGCTGTCAAGCAAAGTCGGGCTGCGGAATTATGACGTCCTGCGTGGCCGAAATAATATTTATTTCGGGGAAAATAGGACAAAAGTCGCACCACAAAACCGCCAACAAACGCTTTCAGAAGGAGGAGGAAATGCGCGCGCGGGATGAATGCCCCTGGGAAAATAAAACACAGCGGGTGAGCACCAGACTCGCAGAGAAAGAGGTCCATGGCAGCAGCAGAGAGCTCGTTTGACTTGCTTCACTTGACTGACTGAGATGTCCCTGCGTTGATAAAGCTCCTGAAAAAACGTCCATTGTGCGCTGGGTACTTTGATCATCGCTTTTTTGGCCCACGGAACACATACACACGTATCAGCTCAAGTCAAGAATGATGACAAAAAAAAGTAAAAATAAAAATGCTGCCAGAAATGTTCATCCGGTGCAGCAAACGAGTTTTGGGCTAAAATGAAAAAAAAAGCTATTTAGTGGGGATTTAAATATTTATGAAAAAACAGAAGGAGATATTAAAATAAATTTGAGAGTATTTAATTTATTAGGTTTCAAAACAATTTCAAAACAAAATGTCAATTAATTGATTATACAATAAATAATAATTGAAAGAACACCAAAATGCAAAATCCATTCACTTCCATTAATAATAATTTTATGGCACAATTAATGAGTTTTTTGCTCCGCTCGTATTTAGCACCAAACATGGTATTATTGAAATATTGACATCTCAGTCAAAGTATAGCTTGTACTGCTTCAAAGTCTAGAAAAAAAAGCTTTAAAATAGTGTGAAAGAGCAGCCTTAACTCTTAATTTTACGGCACAATTGCTGAGTTATTTGCTCCGCTAGTATTTAGCACCAAACATGGTATTATTGAAATATTGACATCTCAGTCAAAGTATAGCTTGTACTGCTTCAAAATCTAGAAAAAAAGCTTTAAAATAGTGTGAAAGAGCAGCCTTAACTCTTAATTTTACGGCACAATTGCTGAGTTATTTGCTCCGCTCGTATTTAGCACCAAACATGGTATTATTGAAATATTGACATCTCAGTCAAAGTATAGCTTGTACTGCTTCATAATCTAGAAAAAAAGCTTTAAAATAGTGTGAAAGAGCAGCCTTAACTCTTAATTTTACGGCACAATTGCTGAGTTATTTGCTCCGCTCGTATTTAGCACCAAACATGGTATTATTGAAATATTGACATCTCGGTCAAAGTATAGCTTGTACTGCTTCAAAATCTAGAAAAAAAGCTTTAAAATAGTGTGAAAGAGCAGCCTTAACTCTTAATTTTACGGCACAATTGCTGAGTTATTTGCTCCGCTCGTATTTAGCACCAAACATGGTATTATTGAAATATTGACATCTCAGTCAAAGTATAGCTTGTACTGCTTCAAAATCTAGAAAAAAAGCTTTAAAATAGTGTGAAAGAGCAGCCTTAACTCTTAATTTTACGGCACAATTGCTGAGTTATTTGCTCCGCTCGTATTTAGCACCAAACATGGTATTATTGAAATATTGACATCTCAGTCAAAGTATAGCTTGTACTGCTTCAAAATCTAGAAAAAAAGCTTTAAAATAGTGTGAAAGAGCAGCATTAACTCTTAATTTTACGGCACAATAGCTGAGATTTTTTGCTCCGCTCGTATTTAGCTCCAAACATGGTATTATTGAAATATTGACATCTCAGTCAAAGTATAGCTTGTACTGCTTCAAAATCTAGAAAAAAAGCTTTAAAATAGTGTGAAAGAGCAGCCTTAACTCTTAATTTTACGGCACAATTGCTGAGTTATTTGCTCCGCTCGTATTTAGCACCAAACATGGTATTATTGAAATA